GTTCCTGAAAAATTACCAATCCCTTCACTCATCAATAGGAAATATAGTTTTCATTTAGGACTCGAAGGAAATTTTTATTTTATTTTTTATTGTTATGCCTTTTACTTGAGCCTGGAAAGGACTCTAAGGAAAGTTTTGAATTTTGATTGTAAGTGATTTCATACGGTTTTGAGAGCCTCCATGTAACAGTACTTTGAGAGGAGCTCACATTTTATACCAAAAAAGGATTTGGCCAACTGGCAGAATCTGATGCCACTGAGGGCAGTAAACATGCAAGTGGTAGAGGAGGTGCCATCCTTGGATTTTTTATTTATTGTCACCTGATTATGTTTTATTTCTTGAATACTTTTCTAGGTGTTACACACTTGCTGAAATCTTTATGGGCACACAATATGTTATTCTAAACACAAAAGCTTTAGGGTAGGTTGCAGTATTATTTTGTACATCATCTTTGAACAATTATTCAGTCCTACTATTCTCAAGCTGTTGGACATTTGGGTCAGCCTATAAGCATAATTTATATATTCAGTAATTTGGGGCCTACATGGATGGACTAAGCAGAGTGTTTTATGCACTTACCTGTTGTTGGTATCTTTTGTTGTAAGATGCCTAACTTCTCTGGGTCATTCTGGACTGATGATAAAGCCCTTTGTGGTACTGATCTCTCCTCTGAGTTGTTTTTTTTCTTTTAAATCTCTCTTAATGGTACCACCCACTGTCCTAGGCTACAGGAATCGAGGCAATCCATTCTTAGCCCAGTGTCTCTCTGTAGCCTTGGGACAAATCTGTCTCTTCTGTCTTCTTAATATCCTTTGATTCCATACCTTCTCTCCATCTCCACTGCCTCAGCCCAAGCGAGACCTTTGCAGTGACCTCCTAACTTCTCCCCCTTTACCTCCAGGCTTGCCCATCATCTAATCCATCTTCTACAGTGCTTCCAGCAGTTCCTTCTAAAATGCTTCTTTGGTTATGCCCCTGTTGTCATGGCCCTTTAGCAGTGTCTGAGTTGGAGAGTCTCACAGTTGCATTCTCCTTCTTATTCACATTCTCTTTGTTGATATTTATTTCCTCCCCCAAGACAATTTCTGTCTTGATTTGATGTGTATCTCCCTGCATTATTTGTACTGCTTTATTGGGGCTAATTGGCATAAATTAATTGCACCTGTTTAAAACATGCAGTTTGATGAATTTTGCCATATGCATGCACCTGTGAAGCCATCACCATACTACAACATAATGAACATATTCATCACCTTCAGAAGTTCTCTCTTGCCCCATTATGATCTCTTCCTCCCATCTTTTCCCACCTATCATCTTCCCCATTCCCTTTTCCAAGGGATATGAAGAAAAAAGAAATATATTTATATGCTTTTGGGATTATTTTTATATGAGGAGCAAATATGCAAAGCCCCTTCTAACTTGGGATCTTTGAAAGCATTTACAATAAAAACAATCTAACCAGTTTACCAAGATGCATAGATTATGTACTTGCTATTGCTAGGTGGATAAGTTCTGTGGGGGACAAAAATGAGATAATTATTTGGCTTCAAGGTTTATATTCTGTAGTTGAAAGCATAAGACGCACTTACACAATTAGCGGCCAGTGATCAATAGTAGGTATCAAAGCCATAAATTGAGTGATAAATGGAGATGGATGTGATGGGGTAGGCTTAGCTCATTGTTTGGATGCAGAGCTCCACTTTATCTGAATCTGTGATGTTTACGTTATCCACCTGGAGGCATGCATTAAATCACATTCTGTTAGACTTCACTGTAACTGAAAGAGCAGGAGTTCCAGAGTCAGACAGGGCTGTATTGGGATTCCATACCTGTGCTGACCTGTGACTTGTGCCAATAGTTTTCTGAGCTCAGTCTCTCTTCATTTATAAAAGAGAGAGATTTAAACCCATGTCATAATGATATTGCAAGAATTAGAGATATCATATGTAAAATGTCTCTATTCTCAGTAGTATCAAAAATAATAAT